GGGGCACAAAGACCAGGACGTAATCATCAGCAATTCCCCGCGATCGACTGAATTTCATCGCTTTGACGTTCAGAGCACTGGGAGGGAATCACCTTGCGCCAACCTTTTCACGGACGTCACGGAAGGAGCTTGTATAGTACCCTGCAACGTCCATTGACTGCTTCACCAGCCGACGAGCCGGCATTGTCGCAAACTCCACTTTGACTCTGGAACTTGGCCAGGGTCAGAGCTCCTTCGTCAATATCTTGCTTTGCGGTGTTTGTGGCACTCCACCTTCCACGTGCTAACGTCGCGTCCATTGGTGAGGTCAACAAGTACCAGGTAGCCGCTTTCTGTGTAGCCCGTCCACTGGGATCAGGGAAGGGTGCCTGCTTCCCAAAGCACAGCACCTAGAGCTTGAACAAGTTGCCAACCCAGGTGTGTATAGCCGAGTTGGGTTGGGCAGCGGATGAATCTCAAACAAAAATCGATTCAATGAGAACAGCAGGGAGGTGATCCAATCAGTGCACCATTTCCATCTATGTGCTCAACTTCGGGAACCCCATCAGGTGTGCACGATCCCGTACAGGCTGGAGCCCCTTCGCCGCTCCCCATCGGCCAAGTTGATTGATCTCGCACGGGCCGATTAAGCACGGGCTACTCCAATCCAAGGCCAAGGTATATCATGCAGGGTCCAGAAAGCCTCACACCGAACTTGGAGACCGTCAAATTGTAACAATTATACATGCCTTGTGACAGTCGATAGTGAATCTCGGCCGTCGTGCTCCTCTAAGTCAAGCGGCCTTTCGAAGCTGTTTGCACACCCTCCTCTGGCTCATTGGCGAAGCTTCAGTAATTGTTACCCGATCGTCCCATCGGCCATCCTAAACAGCGCGATGAGATCTAGCCCCTACGTGCAATGTCTTTCCCGCGCGAAGTTCCTCAATCATCACAAGATTTGCTTAGAAAGGGGTTATATATGGTGTTGTGTCTAGGACAAAGTTAATCGAATGCTGTCACTGCCCTGTTTGCTAAAAAACGCGGCGCTGTAGCCAAGGAAGCTGCCGACCTTGTCCTTTTCAATGACCCTTGCACGGCCCTCCAGCACAGTGCCAAGCCATCCATGGTTCTTGCAAGTCCTCACAAACTCATCATGACTTTAACTAAAGCTATTAGTAGCTTCTGGCATTAAGGAGCCACTAGTAACTAGTAACAAAGGGCATCGCTATTGCCACTGGCGGGGCCTTTGTTCTTGACTTGGCCCCAACAAGCCCGCGGTATACCGCGGCTTCCATCCGCGGCAACATCCGCAACGCCAGTCTTCCAGCGTGCTTTCTGCCAGTCTTCCGCCCGCAGCTTGGGCTGGGCGCTCTTTGCGACTTGGACGAAGCGCGGCTCGGATACACAGGTGGAACCGACGCAGTTGCTCCTTCTCCAAGTGGTCCACCATCCATTCCTGCTGCTTCGTCTGCTTGAGCGGCCCACCGCTCCCAAGGGGTCATCTGAAGTGCCCTCCGTCTCCTCACTGGCCTGTGCGTTGTCTGACTCTTTTTCTTCGTCACCTTCCTCTAGCCACACTCTTTCCCAACCTTCTCAGACTTCCTTCTTCGGCTCTTCTTTGTAACCCCTTTATTCACTGTGTCCTCGGACACGCTCCTTGTCTCTGCTTTCCTTCTCATTCCTTCTCTCTTTAACTTTTGCCGCCTTTCTTGCATCGCTGTGCTTCATGCGCTCATGCAACTCCAACCCTTTTGATCTCTTCATGCGTCCGGCATCACATTTCTCCCCTTGCTCACGGGATCAAATCTGACCGTCCACGTGCCACAAGACACTTTTCATGCTCTTCGCAACGCAGGTCGTACCCTGCCTCTCTCCTCAGCCCTTTTGTAAATCTAATTTCCACCGCTTGAGGTCGGCGCAATCACTTCCGATGTACAACTGTCCTTTGATCCTTTGATCATCACATTGGCTAGGCTCTTGCCACCAACCTTCTTGATGATGTCAATCACCGTGCAACCCTGCGTTTGTCCTCCTTCATCTCTAATCCCAGCCCCCAAGAAATTTATGATCAGGAAGTTGAGCTTGCTGTCCACCTCCCTTCTTGAGCTCAAATCTGCAGGATAAATCCTCGTCTAACTCGATCACACATATCACCAAAAAAGGACTGCTTCCCAATTGAAATGATAGATGTTGCTTCGAACATGTCCCCTTTCCCGCCCGTCTGATAATCCACACCGGGGCACGGAGGGTGTTCCCCTCACGGATTTATCGTTCTTGCATTGCTTCAACACCTGGCCCAAGATGCGCAGGGCAGTGATAGGAAGCGGATTTCCCCAACAAAATGACGTTCCTCGAACTGGGTGTTGGAATGGTACTGCTCGGACTGGGCAGCTGAGCAGCTGCCCTTTTCCGCAAACTCACCGTGGAAAAGTAGTCGGTGTCCTGTGGACTGCAAATGCCAAGGGCGGAAACACCATCTTGTATTCATCTAGCCACAGTAGTCATACAAAATGCACCATATGTCCGCAAAACTGTTGCCCTATAGGTTACAGTAGACAGAAAGCAAAGATGAATCAATTACCATGAAGGGCACCTGAATGTATCCTTTTCCATTTGCATCTGAACCCACTGACCCGGTTTCTGGTGTATGGAAGTGCAAATGTTCAATCAAGTAGCTATGGACATAAATGTTCATAAAATGATCCCTCCATTCCCTTGCTAATGTGGACATAAAAAGGACATTTATCAGCCCACACCCATTCTCATGCAACATACGTTTCTAGAGCCCACACATCACTTCACACTCTCATCCCTAATCTCCCCCACCTGTTGACTCGCGGTCTTGCCGGTACAAGCGGGCATCCGGTAGCCGACTTTCCGGTAGGAGCCAAAGGCATTCTGTGGGAGCCCATTGTCTGCATAGTCCTACACACTTCGGCATGAGGGAAGATGAGCGGCAACCGGCTCAATTGGTTGGAAAAGCCCGCAAAATACCATATCAAGGGCAAACTGTTTTGAATGGTGTGCTGCAACTTTTGTTTGAGCAGTCTGTCACGCCCATCCAGCAAAGTGGAAAGATTGCTGTCCCGCACTACATGTTATTTGGGACGCTGTTAAATATAATACGCGAGATTATATAACAACTGATATATTGGCTTCTTGAACGGGGTGTGCTTTTCTGTAAAATACAGGGGAGCAGTTTCGTGAACCTTTCAAGCATACAGTGGAACCCACAATTTGTTTGGGTTAGGATTCAGGATGTTCCGGCAAGCAAAATCACAAGCCCAACGATTTGTCCCCAACATGCAGCTGTCGTTCAGGAAACTTCAGGGAGATAGACATTCATAGTCGTATGAATGCCTTGACAACTCTTTCCATTGTTTGATATTATATAATGTTGCTCTCAGGAACGATGCATTATATTGAGCATACTCGTATTAGGTAGATAGACCACGGTCTAAACTCGTCTGGGACAAATTCATTGCTGAGATCAGTGGATTTGAGACACTAGTATGCATCCCCGAAAGCTTAGGAAATGCGAACCATTCGGCCCATCGGACACGTGAAATTGGGGATCCATGATTTGCGCGGCATGCTTGTGTTGCAACAGTTTTTACATCTACCTTGTTACATTGCTGGCATATTGGGCTACATGAGTACCAAGTTAGCAGCCGCGACCATTGAACAGGAAGGTTCTATGTTGCGACCTACCTTGTTCTAGGTCATGGAAATAGGTGGTCCAATGGTTAGTGAGATCCAGTGCGTTCCGATCCGCAGGATCGGATCTTAGACTTCCCAGCTCCAAGCTCCTCCCGTCCCGTCGCGTCCCCAACCTTCAAGACGGCCATAAACTGTGTCACGTTCTGGCGGTGCTTGGGAGGCCCCCGTTTCACGGGGCACGTGGACGGGAGAGCAGAGCGGTTGGGAGGCATGAGGCCCGAGGATGGGAGCCCTTTCTTTCAGAAGCAAAGATGACCCATGAGCAAAAAAGGGGATGAATAAACGCGATTTCGTCGCTGTGCCGGGCAAGAATTGAAGATGCTCACCGTGTACCACAATATTCAAAAGGACCGGTCCAAATCTGACCTCAAAGCTAGCTACGTTGAATCCAAACACACCCAAACGTGCCAGGGATGCGAGTAAAGCATCTTGGTTTCTGGGTCATCTTGCCAGAACACATTGAAGGCCACCGCCTTCCAAAGGCTTTTAATAGCAAACCCTCCATCAAACTAAAACCCAGTCCCAAAAACTCTTGCTTAACTTGCTGACCTGTCTTGCAAGTCCCCTCCATGCCGTCGCTGCAGCGAGCTGAACACGGGGGAACATGTGATGCACCTTTCTGAGGCAGCGCCCCACATCACGTGAACCGACGCGAAGTAAAACGATGGTCCTGGAGCTGTTCAGTGTAGATCTCCTTCAGCTTCTGAGTCGCCGCCTTCTTCTCGTGTTGGAACACGCCGTGAACGTACTGGCAGGACGAGTCGCCCCCACGAGCCGCCCCCACGATGCCAAACGAGTCGTCGACGTTCACGTGTCACGGAATGCATCAGCGACTTTCCACGCTCTGAAAAAGCAGGAAACGAAGCCAGACTCCAACTACCAACTACCTACGCTACCTACAAATACCTCTGTGTGGTACTGTAGCTGGTAGCAAGAAAAAAACAATACCATCAATAACATGCGCATTTTTGCAAGTTGAACTACAGCGCATCCATGACTGCCCAAAGGCTGTTGGCTGTCGACATACAGCCCGGCCTGGGAGACAAATCCGTCCCCTTCCAGTCACAACCCGGTGAATGAGAAGCACTTGTGTGCACGGAGCCGCCTTATTGCAATTGCCATCCTGCTCCATACAGGCAAAATAGCACGCGTCCACGTTGCAGTCCGCATCGCCCGCGCAAAAAGCGTTCCCGGCATCCTGGGCGATGCGCTGCGCGCTGCGCTGCTCGCGGCTTGGTGAAGATGGTCCATCCATGGTGATCATGGGTCGTGACAGATCAGGTCTTTTTGCATGATTCATTGGTGGTTCACCCATAATTAAAAAAAAATCCTAAGTTCCAAAGCAAACTCACAAATGGTATGTGGATGTGATTCCGGACAAAGGCAATATGTATATATGTACATTAATGTTCTTAAAGGTACAGTACAATAAACTCAATGTTCATTCCCCCATATCGAGAGGCCCGGTTGTCGGAAAAATTGCCTGCTTGCGACACAGCTGTGCGAGAAAAGAGCAAGTCAAAACGGTGCTCTTTAAAAGCACAGGAGTCAGCATTGAGAACGTCAAATGTATCGAGCCTCTGTTTGAGCACTGGGGACTGGGACCGAAGTTGCTCCAGGTTCCGATCCTTGAAAACCTTAAATGTTTGCACTCCTACCTTGCTAGTTTTGTTCCAGGGGAAACTAGTAGGCATTGTTGGGTCTCAACGAGAACCTGTTTTCCAGTAATAGCCTGGGTTCCAGGCAGCTTGCAATGCAACATGTTTCCTTGGAAGGTGGAACAAACCCACGGAAAAGGAACAATGGGCTGCATTCCCTGCGCTTTTGTAGCTGGCAAGGTGGACCGAGACTATACCGGAAGCCGGTCGGAACTGAAAGCGCGGTGCTGCTTTGAGAAGGCCTTGCAGAAGTAGCGTTTGGGGGTTCGATTGTAGAATCTTAAACTACATTAAAACACAACTCCTGGGGGTTCTCCATTCCTGGATGTTCAATTGCCAACCACTATACTTCCCACCTAGCACAAACTCCTGATCTTCTAAGTTCCTAAGTCGATAGCTACACAGGTTCACTTCCATGGTTTACCGATTCCAAGCATCAGCAAGTAATTACGTTTCCTAAAAGTTGTATATCCTCTTCCAATGGCCGACGACTGTTTTCTCTGCACCTATACAATATTGTAGGCCACCAGACTAATTGAATGGTGCTGGCCATGTCGACCGTCAACGCCAATGCTGATCAGATTTTCTTTCAGGGTACATCTCTGCAAGTTTTACGGCATACTCATGGTTTTGCAGGAGGCTCTGAAGGGTTGATGACTTGGCATGAGCAATGCTCTTCCCACGCAGCCAAGAGTCTAGGCAATAGGAAGACCCCAACCTTTCGGCGGATATAGAGCTGGGATGGCCAACCATACTGCAGTCAGAGCACAGTCATCACGAATATATTTACAGAATATCGTGAATATATGCGAATATATTGTGTGAGGTCAAGCTATTGTGAACACGATACGTATCATTCAATGACACGTGTGATAAGTTCAACTGGCCCTTCGTGTTTGGGAGGGTCAAATAAAGTAAGGGATCGGTTTGGATGAGCACAGGGGTCTACAAAGTACTTGGTACTGCCTGCAAAAATAAACTCCGTTCTTGGTCAACCGGAATCTGCCATTCCACTGGAGCTACAAGCATCTACAATGAATCTACAAGCTATATATAGACTATGTGACTTGTAGAACTTCCAAGCAACCAATTCTCCTTACAAGAGGCAATGCACTCTGGGTTGCCGCACTCAACTCATGGCTGGAGAAATGAGAGAAATGGAGGAAAACTTCCGGCCCACCCATACTAGCACTAGGATGCATTAGGCCTCTCGGCCATAAAACCATGTAATTGACAGGACGCCCGGATTGCGCATGAAGAGGTGGTCAACTCACATGAGCAAGAAACACCACATGAGGTCTTGCAGCATGGGAGGGTGGAGCCCTTCCAAACACAAACATCTTCAAATGTCCAAGCAAGGAAAATGATCCGACAATGAAAGTTGATGGCACCAAGTGTTTGACTCCCAAACTAATTACATCTAATTACTATATGTATATATATATATATTGCATGTCACATGTCAATACTTGACATAAATCAAGGCCCCATCCAAACTCCTGCCCGGCAACTTCTCCAATTCCCATGCCCAAAGAAACTACATAGATTCTAGAAGGCCCATCTACATCTCATCCAAATATAGCAAATCATTTCGTAAGTGTCCCATGGTGTCTCGGTCCATGTCCTAAACCCGAGGTGCATGGAGTAGGGCCTTGAGCAGCCCATGCGGGTGAAGATGCACACAGGCTTCTTGAACGTCGCCGGACAAGCGGTCTCAGCGGGTCGATGTGATTCAATGCCAGGAGGCGGGCATACTGCTGGTGTCTGGAAAGGAAAACCCATTCTAGAACAGAATGGATAGAATAATTCAGGAATTGATTCTGTTCAACAATATGTACATAAAAATATAAACATCAGGGTCTACCACAAGTTACTATTCATTGGATGGGTTCATCTTTCGACACCGGCAGTAACGACATACTCTACGACAAACCCTGGTGTGCTTCATGCAGTCTGGGCAGGAGGACAACATACCACAGGAGAAAACCAAGCAACAAACCATAAACATCTGTACACAACACTTGCACTTACACTTCCTCAAGCAAGCACATGTCGCGTAAGCATCCTATAGCAAAGCCACGGTGGCGGCCATTGACAAGTAGCATATTTGAGGGGTTCGTCTTCGTCTGTTCACCCACAGCCTGAAGACCTCCCACACATACAGGGGATGATGGCAAGCCAGGGTGCGCCCCCATGCCACCCCCTCAATGATGTAGTCCCAGCAGGCACAGCCCAAAAACAAAGGTTTTTGCCTGCAAGTCGCCCAGCCCTCGTTCATGCAAAGTCCACCCGTAGGGCTGCACTTCGACGATGGCACACAGAACCTCAAGCAAACGATCTCGTCTTCCAATCGCGAAAAACGTTTGGCCACGGAGGGTCTTTTGTTGGTTCCATGTGAAAACCTTCCGGGGCGTATATCTGTGTGTGACCACTCATTCGACCGTGGACTCCAGCTGAACGCACCGGATTGATCTTCAAAGACCCTCCAGGTTTTGGGCAGTCTGCAGTGTCACTCCTGTCTCAGGATGTCTCATGTCTTTCGGAGAAAAGGCCTGGCCCAAGAGTCTCCAAGAGCCTTCTGGTAATAAAATCAGTAGAACATCTCACAGGCATCTTTAGCCAAGTCCATCCGATTCGATCGGACTCAAATCCAATCCGAGCTGCGCTTAGCTGCGCTTTGACTGTGCTTCGATGGACTCCGTTGGGTGGAAGGGCACCAAAAAAAAGTGCACCATAGTTGACCACATGGAAACGAAATGTGGAATGGAACAAACAATTTGGGCGACCATCTATGCTTATAGGCTTATAGGTCAACTATGGCACTTTATGACAAATTGAACATCTATTTGTATTATAGATTCAAAGGTGAAATGAATTCACTAACTAAGCCCAAAGCGAGGGCCTTATAGATGGTCACATTTGGGTCCCAAGACGGGAAAAATGCGCGATGTCGCGGTCAAGACGCTCAACATCATCTCCATACCTTGGTCAAGAGCCAGGTGAAGTCCAGAGCGGCTTTGCTTGACCCGATGGGCTGGCGGAAGAACTATCTTCCACGACACAAGGAACATGGGAACCAGGTTGTTGTCTTTTTGTTGTCTCACGTTGCAGTCCCAAGTATAGTCTATATATAGTAAACAAACATGGTTTCCAAACACGTCAGAGTCTCCAAAAAAGTGCCTCAAACATGCTATATAATATATATATATATAGATTTACTATCTTTTTGCTCGACTGGAAATTCTGGGAGCAAATGAAAGTGATGGTGAATTAGAGCTGTTATAAGCATGTCATAAACCAGTCCTGCTCATCTTGGTTTCGCAATGTTTCTCATAACTTCTGGTAAGTGTGGACCTCAAATGATGACGCTCCTGCTCCTGCTCTGGCTGCTGACAGCCTTCAAAAGTAGAGTCTAATCTTTTGGGGTGCCATCAAAACTATATAGTTGCTGTAAGTAAAGAAAGTGAAACACCCCCCATGTTGGCCCTCTGAGCCAAACAACTCTATAGATTTATAGTTGAGGAGGCTTTCATTCACTATGATGTTATCGATTCACTGGATGTTCTGACTCTCTATCGTGATGGGTGCAGCCGAGTCTTCGGCCAGGTCACGTGCACGAGGAGTCTTCGACCACCTGTGAGGCACTGTTCATGAGATGGTCAATCTTGGTCTTCAGCTGGTCATAGCTGCTGGAGCAAAACGACCTCATGGCACAAACGGCCTCACCCAGCTGGAACACAGCTGCACGGTCGACCGCTGCACGGCTGGCAAGCCAAAGGGAAGTGACCGACGGCTCATGGTTCATGGTCGAACTGATGGAGCAACGACATCATCTTGAACACAAGCTAGGCTTCTATTCTAGCAAAATCTGCCCATCAATGTTCATCCATCTTCAGTTCCGTCCCTGTCTGATCAAACATGCAAAAAGATCAAAAGAGTGAGACACATTTGAGACACCAAGGGTAACCCAGGTCCAATCAGCTCCAGCCTGAACAAAGCAAACCCCATACGCCTGCCGCTCGCTTGGAACATATTGGAACCAAAAAACCGCGCGTGCTTCGAATAATTCCCATTTGCTTCGAAAAATCGCATTGTTGCGATTCGCCCCAAAAGAACGTTGCTGCGGCGCTTTGCTGCGTCCCAAGTCGCTGGAAGTTTCCCATCGACCCGATCCCTCCCAACAAAACCAGCCTCAGCACGGAGGGTCTGACCGGCTCAGGACTGGCAGGGGAGGGGCGGTTGTGGATTTAAAATTTCAGGTATATTTATATGTTTATTTGCCAGACATGGCGCATGATTGCGAAGATGGTGCCTGCCCTGCCTGCCTTATAAGAAAAACACAAGGGAAGAAGAGACCATCCCTACATGCTGCCTGGAGTTAAGAGAGAAATGCATTCCAAATATTTTTGGGCACCTGGCTCTTCATGAGGCTTGCAGGGCTGTGCTACAAAAACCAAATCAACCTGTCCTGTGCCCCATGACAGCCATCCAGAAAAAGGACAGTGCGAAAACGCTCGACTGTCCCATTCACTAGGATGAACCCACCCACCGCTCTTCCGAATTAAAATGTGTTCCTCCAGGCTTTCCTCAGCCAAAGCTAGCGTTCTGATGCGTTCTGGTTTTTAGCGGGGCGAATAGGCAAGAAGGGTGGTCGTAGACTGACTGGTGTGGGCCTCCGTCCCTACGTCGTCAGAGTTCTCACCTCATGGACATACAGGGCCGAGCGAGCAGGCTGAGCAGGCCGAATTCAGTTCTTGGCGAAGCAAGAAAAAGCCACAGGCCCCCCTGTAGACCCGCGCTAACCGCGTGAGCACAGTTCCGTGAGCAGTGAGAGTTCCATAACTAAAGGCTATGGTCGGCGTGAATGCGTGAACACAGTTCCTCCTCCTGAGGGATAGCTCCCTAGCCCCTGGCTTGGTGGCTGAGAGTTGCTAGTGCTAAAGGAACGGGGACAGTGGAGAAATACACATAAACATCCCGCCGGGTGTGGAATGGAACGTGTCGTGCAAAATTTGATTCAAAAGTGCAAGCCCTCTCAGTACTTTTGCTTGTTCGATGATGTTTTTTGGGGGGTCCCTGATCCTTTCATTTTATAGCCGAAATCTGCCGAAACCCAAGCGCCAGCGCAAAATCCGTCGCCGTTGTTGTCCCGGGCTGTCCTCAACTTTCATCCGTCCTGTCTCAAGTAGACTTGCGCAGTTTTTTTTTGCACAAGTTAGTACACGTGGTGTTTTCCCAACGCCACTGCCATCCGCAAATGTACACATCAATCTTTGGGTTGAAGGATCCATCTGACTTTGTCAGCACGCTCGGTGGAATCGCTGCCTTGCACAGCTTCCAACAACTGTCTCTTCCTCCAGTGTGCACCTCAGTCCTGAGTCCATGAATTCGAGAGTGCTCGACGAACTGACCTCTGCTGTGACAGCAGGCTCTGTGCAGAACTTTCAGCTCGGGGCACAGTTTCAAGTACACAGGAGCACCATCAGAAATCAGACATGTTTTTCCCAGGCCCGGAGTCATGGGAAGGACCTGACGCATGAAGTCTGTCTTCTGGATTCTAGCAAAACTCTCAGGAGGTGTGCCAAAGGACTTGCTGTCAGCATCTGGAAGACGGTGCAGATGAATGCAGCGAGTTCCACGCTTCAGTGCGCCGAAGTACTGCATGTACCTCAGAGTCGTGGTGCCTGGAAGCACAAACTTGCGAATGCTTGTGCCATCGACTTCCAACAGTCCTGAGAGCTTCCGTGAATCTTGAGTCTTCTGGGCACACAAAGCTTCTGCGCGCAGAAGAACTTCACCGAGTTGGCGGGCAGCACTGCAGGCTTGACCAGAAACACCCATCATCCTGGCGATCTCCTCGCTCCAAGGTCTTTTGCTGTTGGCGAACCATTGTTGCAAAAAGAACCAGTAGTGAACGATGGGCCAACGAAGTGTGGGCAGGGCGCTGAAGTTCATGACATCTTTGAAACCTGACACAGAACATGAAAAAGAAGCAGTAAGATTGTAAACAGGGCGGTCGACCTTTTTGTCTAGCAACAAGAGTGAAAACTTACTCTGACCCACCAAGACACTTTCACAGTCTTCACATCGATAGAACAGGCGGCCGAAGCCACGAGAGTTGCAAGTCTTCCATGAAACAGCAGCGAAGGATCCTCCACATTGACACTTTCCAGGCTTCCACACCCACTTGGAAGCCAACAGTTCTTTGTAGGCTTTGCGCGAAGGCATGGCTGTCACGACATCGTCGCTGGTACTTTGTTTTTTTGCTGACAATGTTGTGAAACCGATGACAATGCTATGAAAAGGTTGACAATGTTATGAAACCGATGATAATGCTATATGAAGCCGAAGACTACTTGTCGTGAAATCGATGACAATGTTCTCAGCATGACATCCACATCCTCATTCCATCACAACCCTCCCCCCCCCACCCCATTTTAATCACACGACTAATCGGTGACAATGTTATGCAGCCGATGACAATGTTGGCAAGCCGATGACAATGTTATGAAAACGATGATAATGTTATGAAGCCGATGACAATGTTATGAAAACGATGACAATGCTATGAAACCGAAGATAACCTTAGTATACTAAAAAAATTGCAGTAGTCACACGTTCGGTTTTACACCCGTAGGCATGAACATGGTATTTGCATGTATTCATGTATTTGCGTATTTTGCTGGTTCCTCCAACCTCAGCTCTGCCAAAGAACTCTTGGTAAAAGGTGACCATCATCATGGTGCCCTTGCAAAGGGCAATGATGGCATCCACGTTGCCTCGGAAGCGCGGACGTGGCAGCCAGGAAGCTCAGATGAAACGTGAAGCTTTCGATCTCTCCAACCATCTTACGAGACCATCTGTTTCATATGGTGCGACATACATGGTTGCAATAACCTAAATAGACCCCCAAATAGATAGAGAAGTCGATAAACAAATATGTATTGGACATGGTTTCTATCTATTTGGGGGTCACTCTACATACAAATCCAAGATGATCCAAGCAAGGAATAGGAAGTGTGCGGTGGCATGGCGGGCTTTAAGTGAGAGGTGCCAATATGCGGATATCCTGGGTGATAGCGGTGGGGATATCAGTGCATAGATCCTTAGCAAACGTAGCCCCATGATGCTATGATGATGATGACTAATTATGATTGATGTTTATCTGGTTTGTGGTTTCAGCACACTTGAAACATATTAGTCAAAGGGTATCAATCATCCCCAAGATCCCCAAGTAAGGGTTAAACATAAAACTATCCGAAACCATCACCTAGTGATTTTTATTCTGATGATTCACCTTTGAGCTGTCTTCAGCCTGTTGCAAACGAGGGGCTGTAGCCCTCGAGGGCAGCCCCCCAGTTCGTCGGGTAGGTCTTGTACAAGTTCTCGGAGCGTGTCAATGGCGGCCGAGGAACCGCCGGAGAAACAGGTGGTCATCGGGGCGCACACCGACGTAAGGTCTACCAGCATCCAAGATGTCTATATTTGGTCAATAACTCTATCCTGTACAAGTGAATCTGGACACTGCCTCACGTGCGCCCGAACCCAAACAGGCTCTGCACGAGCCCAATCGTGGCTCCTCCCGAACCCTCGGCGTAGCTGAGGATCAATCTGCTCCTTGGTGTCCTCGATGGCCATCTCGAAGGTCATACACTGTAAGCATCTACCTCAGCTCTGCATCTTCATCCGTTGAATTCCACAGACCCCTTGGAAGAACAAAGACATCAAAGAACGAACGATCTCCTCATTTGTTCTCCATCCTTTGACATCGTCGGAGAAAAACACACCAAAAGTGTAAGTTTGGGTAGCCTTCTTGTCACTGGCCAATTTATCCAGAATACTTGGCTGGTTGGGCGACATCTTTGCGCTACAAGCATCCACCCAGTTGGTAGCCTGAATATGTATCTACAAAGTCTATGTATCCGATCATCATCTATAATATATATATATATTATAAATACACAACTATATATAGATCATTACTGCACATCAATCCTCTTCTCCGGCATGTCTGGATCCTCTAGCAGGTGTTTCGACATTGTTTCTTGAAACTTGAAACCAACTTATTCGTACATGTCTGAGTCCAACTCCTCAGGGCACTCCGGGCACTCCTATGGGCACAAGCCGACCATCGTCTACATGGAACACTTGGCCGACCACATGAGGAACATGAGAAGATGTTGAACGAAGCGAGAAAGTCGATTGACCCATTCTCAAGGTTGGTGATTGACACATTATCACCACTGGTTTCCCTCTCAGATCATCTCCTCAGAGCCTACGACCGCTCCGGTCGACGATCTGATGATTGAGCAGTGATTCACCCTTAGATCATCACCTGCTCTGCATTCCCTGCGAGGAAAACAATCCGGGGAGAATCCAATGCGCTTGGAACAAACGTTGCATCCCATGGATGCTGATATTGCAATAATTTGTTCCAAGTGGATGCGATTCTCCTTGAGAAAATTGGATTGGATATTTTTCCCTTAAGCAACGCGGATCCCCTAAGCAATCGATCCCCTCCCGTGCATATGGCCCATGCACCCTGTTTCCCATGCGCCGAGAAAAGCCGAGAAACACATCTCACCCCCCTCGTGGGGAGAGAAAAAGTCTATTGCAGTAAACAATACCTTTACCCACAAATCCACATACCCTCTGCGGTACGGTGATGTGTTGGACACTGTGTAGGTGCCAGTGTCCAGTCGTACCTAACCTGAGGTTCGGTATGACTGGATCTGTTAGGGTTTTTGTTCTGTACTGATGGTTCATAAGCGGATCCTGTTCGGCATCAGGGCCGTGCGGAGAACTAATTCAAATCACAATACTAAGATGTACTAAGCACCGATCAATCATGTTCTGAAGTTATAAAGTTGAACACTCCCAAAAGACAGAAACATCTGAACAATGATTGTAGTTGACACTTTGTGGAAACCATTGGGAACCACGTGTGTCCACTGCATACCTTTGAGACACTCAGTTCCAAGTGACGGGAAGGGCTACAAACTCCAGTGCCAGGTGAAAACTCCCCATTGAGCCGGCAAAAGGCCTCCCACAGGGTGTCGAACCGACTTACCGAATCGAAGCCTCTGATCTGAAGGGTTTTCATCTGAACCTTTATTACTCTTTATTCTAAAACTACGCTTTCTAGATGGGGCCTTCGGTTGTGCAGTACAAGTGATTTTCCGCTCATAACATCTTATAGCCACCAAACCTTCTGTTCGTACGCCTATACCAACCACATCGACGCAACCAAGGAGGCTGAAAGTAACCTCAACACATGAGCTACGGCCAGTCACACTCCCGAAAACGGACCCACGGACCGACAAACCCGGGTCGGTTTTGGCACTCGGATCGTCCGACTGTTTTCCTCTAGTTTTCAGGGTCTTTGTTAGTTTTCAGTGGGGTAAATCCCGTCTACTAGAGCACGCACACAAGCATAATTAGGCCGAGAGCCCGATTCTCTGCTGAGAGTCGGGGCAAAGAGAAATCCCCAGAGGTGGTCATCAAGAGATATCAAGGCCCAAAGGGTTCCAAGCACCCTCGTTTCGAAGGTGTTTGGGGTGGGTTTAAAATAGTTTAAAGTGTCTTTCTTAGGACAGAGAAATCTCCATGTCACATCGTGAGAGTGAAACCTCTCCATGACTCGATGACTCTGATGTGCGGCACGGCTGATTCTGGGGCTCTGAATTGGCATCGAGACTCGCCCGGTGTGTTCTTTCGAAGTGACATGGAATGGCTCTGAAGATTCGGCCCGTGATCTTTGTGAGAAACCAGGGTCCCTCGGTCCCTCGGTCATCGACCGTTTGGTCTTGATAGACCGGTCCTTGATCGGCGATCCGTCGAACCACAGCTCCACAGCGCCTGGCCCTGCTTGATATCTTCATGGCTGGCGTCCTCACAGTCCACATCAGCTGCGCCAGTCTGCACGGTGCAGCAGTCGCCCCGCTCATCCGAGGGGAGGTCCGTGTAGTTCAAACACTGCCGGCGGCGACAATCTTAGCAATCAGCGCCACAATTCGGATCATGGGGAGAAAATGGAGACCCCTATTTCTCCCCCCTGACCTGCATCTTTGACTATACCATGTGAGCTAGAAATCGCGGCCTCAGACCACCTCGGACTGTAGAGTCTAGAGTTCGACAAAACCTGGAATCAGTCCAGCCCCAGTGATTCTCCTGTATCTCTCCATGATCAATGATCAATGTCAAACTGTGACGTTTTTTTTGGATATATAACAAACTTCAATTGGACACAAACAGTGGCATGGCAGTGCCAAGTTGTACCCCCAAACCACCCTGGTTGATCATGGAAACACTCCTCTCAGATTGATTGATACTGTCCCTCAAAAACAAATTGAACAGGTTTTTGGGCCATCTTGGACTGATGGCGCACGAGAACTTCTCGTGACCCCTGAAAAAGCAAAAAAAAAAAGTGGCGCGGCGCGGCATATCCAAACTGCAGGACTCTTCCTTCCAGTAATTCCACCAAACCTTCAGTTGTACTGCCCATCCCAGGCAAAAAGGGACGAGTGTTCGGTGGAGCATGGTGCACCTGCCGCCGAATAAGACTTGTAAAGCACCAGCTTTCACCGGTGCGGCACCGTCCTTCCGGTAGGAATTGCCGCTGGAAGAATCATGAGTCCATGCGACCAGTTGAAGCGACCCCCCCAAGATACAAGTGGAACACCACGCTTGAAAGTCAATGTTAGAGGAAAATCCTCTTTCAAAGGTCCATGTTAAATCAATGTTAACACCTCATTAGTAACACCCCATATGATTTTTTCGGCGTAGTAAAAACTCTTAACTTCAATGAAACATCCAGGCCATTTGGGAGAGGGGATTTGGTGGAGGGTCTTTCATTTGCTTTCATTTTGCTTTCATGTTGATTACAGAATAAAGACCCGAAGAATAAGATAGGAGAACTTAAAAGTAAAAGGTAAAGCACAAGGCAAGGACAAGCCAGCAGACCTGAGGGGGTTGACTATTGTAGGTTTGTTGACAATTGCAGGGGGTGGGAGTCTAAAGGGGTCCCTTTGAATATTTTTGCATTTTTTTGCTAGGGCTTGAAAAAGGAAGCCTAAAGCTTTTGGCTAGCCAATGTTTTTGAGAAATCTGATGGGCAAGGATAAATGAATAAGATTAGACCAGCATAGACCCAAAACAGCTTTAAAGCGATTCGTTGGAACCAATATTAGCAAAAAAACGACTTCTTGGTACATCCTACCTTCTCCCCCGTGAGCAGGTTGCTTAATTAATATCAATTACTGATTTTTGTCGGCATCGACATCGCTGATTGTTCGGCCACAAGAGAAGACAAGAGAAGAGCAGGACAGGAGGAGGACAAGACCCGGTCACGCGCCAACATCCAGACCCCAAAATGGATAAGTAATTTCATTTATAAGTTGTATATCTGAGACAATAGTAACCAGCGTTTTGGCCTGCCATGATTTTGCAATACTACTGTTATATAATTGCGCCATGTTTGTAGCCAAGATGTGTTTAAGTTCTCCGTTGTTTTATTATGGTTTTTTTCTGTTGTGGAATCTGTATGTTTAGTTTTTGCCCATCAGATTTCCAAACACATTGGCTAGCCAAAAGCTTTAGGTTTCCTTATTCAATCCCTATCGAGCAAAAACAACAAATTATTCAAAGGGTACCCCTTTAGACTACTTTAGACTCCCACCCCCTGCAAGTATAAACAAACCTACAATAATCAACCCCCCTGCAGCCCTGCTGGCTTATCCTTGCCTTGTGCTTTCCCTTTTACTTTTAAGTTCTCCTATCTTCTTCTTTTTTCCCCAAGCAGCTTACTGTTGGGGTTTTATTTTAGAAAAGAAAGAGCTGGCCACACTGGCCGCGCTGAACTCTATGGCTGGGCCCTGTGGCCCGGCTCTGTGTCCGGGTCTTGTCCTCCACTTGTCCTTGTCTTGGCC